AGTGTACTTTTCGCCAGCGGATTTGCAACGGGGGCGGGCGGAGGATCGCGATGCCGGTGTTGTCTATCGGACGAACTGTACGTAATACGTACATAGCAGAGCTTGCAAAACTGTGTTTTTTTTTGTCGACAACACGAATGTTGTCAACATAACTCACTGGAAATCCAAAATGCTTAAACACCGGCGACTTCATTGAAAGAGGAGAGGGTTTAAGTTCTCTCGACGGGTCTCCTGCTTCTGCAGTTTAACAAGCACTTCAACAAGCCTGTTTTTTCCCGCTTGGCAAGCCAAGCTGACATGGGGGCGTGGCAGCATCAATGATTCTATTTTTTGATTCGATAATCGAAATTGAGCATAAATTTCGATCGATTTCGATTAAAAATCGAAATCATGACACCCCTAGTAAATACTGGTCCATGTGAAAGCACTTGATTTACTACAGATAACAGAACTGACTTTACTGACAAAATGCACACTAGGGCTGCTCGATTATGGGAAAAATCCTAATCCCGATTATTTTGGTCATAATTGTAATCCCAATTATTCAAAACGATTACAGTTGAATTCAAAATTATTTGCCCTCCTGTGAATTTTTTTTTATAAATATTTCCCAAATGGTGTTTAAGGGTGCTTTCACACCTGCCTTATTTAGTTCGATTGAATCGCACTAGAGTTCGTTTCTCCTTTTGGTACGGTTCGTTTGGGCAGGTGAGAATGCAGCAATCGTACTCGAGTGTGCACCAAAAGTGGACCAAATAAACGTACCGAGACCTGCTTGAAGAGGTCGTCTCGGTACGCTTTCAAACGAACCCTGAAGCGGTTCGTTTGTGGTGAGAATATGATCTGTACTAAAACAGGTCCAACCGCAAAAAGTACTGCGCGTTTTGAACTAACTCAGCTGCCGTAGGCCAATGCGCTGTGCATTATGGGATATGGAGGAAAATATTTGTTGACAGCGCTTTACCAACAGAGAGAGAGAGAGGGGAAAACATTACCTGATGGATCGTTGGTAATATTTACGCAAGATGACCATGTCGCAGTTTAGCTAAATTAATTCACGTCTCCTCCTGAAGTGACGAGCGATGCATTAAACACTGTTTTCCAGCCGCGGCCGCGCTTCATTTTCATAATGTATAGTTTGTCTAAAGCAGAGATACAATCAGCCAGCGCAGTCGTCCCTCCAGAGTAAAAGGTTTTGTTTACTTGCGGGACTTCACTGGCATTTTCCCGCACGTGATTTCTGACCAATCAATAAGCAGCTTAGGTAATATGTTCAACAACATCTGGCCAATGAGAGATGTGGATTTTGTCAGATGACTGCATTTTGGTTCGTTTTAACTGGTTCGGACCAAAGCCAGCAGTGTGGTGTGAAAACGACCCAAAGACGGCAGAAAATGCAACAATGTATCATTTATTACCCTTGGGGCTGACCAAATGAAGCGAACTACAGATGTGAAAGCACCCTAACAGAGCAAGGAATTTTTCACACTATTTCCTGTGAAAAGTTGCTTGCTTTGCTTAGGGCGGTATATGATGCCATAATTGTTTCATCTTGATTAATGTTTTTTTTTCATAATCGTTAAAAGCCAAAATCAAAATCGAAACCAAATTTTCGATTAATTGCACAGCCCTAATGCACACAGAACCAGGGTTCAACGCTAGAGATATTTTCTACTGGCTGGATTGGAACAGTGGTTCAGATTTTTACTTGCCCTGCCAAAATTTTTAATTTTATTTTAAATAATGTGTCAAAAATAATGTCTGTTATAATTATATAAATTATAATGTTTGAGACATATGCTTACAATCAGTAATTTTCTGCTTAAAATCTGTCACTGGTGTGATTTTCGTGAATACAGAAGACTGGGTAGGTATTTTTGCATTTCGGCAGGTTTTGGATACTTTTTGGGCTGGAATCAGTCAGCTACATCTGGCAACACTGTGCGCTTTCGGTTTCATTTCCACTGCTAAGAGCGGTTCACTTCCTGCGCTGCTCCCAAACGATCACTCTGTGCCACAAACTGAACGTAATTTACAACTTTATTACCTGTTATTCACAGCCTATGCAGGTTCTGTTCACTAAAGTAGACTTCATTCAGAGGCGCACACCCGCCCTCTCTGTGGTAACAGCTGGCGGTCAGCTCACGTCACGTGTGCTTTTGCGGTCGCAAATACATCATAACATGAAGACAGAAATGAAATTTTTGGGGCGTTACACAACTGTTGTCAGAATCAAAGTTCACAGTGTTCTCTGGACTCCTCTCAAGCTCTGGACTTCAAAATTCTGATTGGCTCATAATTTTGTCCCTAAAATGGTGTTAAAAAAGATTTAACTGCTTTTATTCTAGCCAAAATAAAACAAATAAGACTTTCTCTAGAAGAACAAATATTATCAGACATACTGTGAAAATTCATTGCTCTGTTAAACATCATTTGGAAAATATTTAAAATAGAAGAAAAAAAAATTCAAAGGTGGCAAATAATTCTGACTTCAACTGTATATAATATTCAATCACTAAATATTGCCACATTCCATACAATACAGTAAGTTGCATTTTTATGACTGATTCTGGAAATCATAGGACCCTTAAAAGGATTTGTTGACTCAAAGGATACGACAGCACCTGAGCAAAGCAAGCAACCTCTGCCTGGTGTTCTCATCACACACTCAATGAAAAGAGTCAGACAATATGCTCCATAAAGGCTATTCTGACCACCCACCGTTCTGACACACATTCCCAATCTTACTATTTCAACTGTATCACATCAAGAGCTGGAAAGCCACGACCACTCAAGGGCCGATCAGTTAACACTTAAGTATAAATCAAGCTTTGGATGGGAAGAAAAATGCAACTATATTTATTTTGACAAACATGGCTGGACAAATCTAATCAGCATGAAACAGTATATTTCAATAAACAGCAAATGATTTAAATGGTAGGCAGCACAGTGGCTAGCACTGTCATCTCACAGCAAGAAGAAGGTCGCTGGTTCGAGTGCCAGGTGGCCCAATTGGCATTTCTGTGTGGAGTTTGCATGTTCTCCCTGTGTGCACATGGGTTTCCTCCTCATGCTCCGATTTCCCCGACAGCCCAAAGACATGTTGTATAAGTGAATTGGATGGACTAAATTGGCCTTAGTGTATGAGTGAATGTGTGAATGAAAGTGTGTACAAGTGTACACTATGGGTGAATAGTTAGCGGTTCGTTCCACCATGGTGACCCCTGATAAGTAAGGGACTTAGCCAAGAGAAAATAAATGAATCAATGGTTTGTATGGTTTGCATGGTAAGATTCTGCTGTCATAAAACCTGACTTCCTCCCTTTTGACGGAAGATGAAATTCATTGAATTAAAGAACAAATTTGATTGTATATTTGCGTTTATAAATTAGTCCTCAGGACATGGTAAAAACAATTAAATAAAATTAGTCCCATGTGAACGGACAGAACCAATTCGAGCAGCCATGTGATCTAAACATGAGAATAAATAAAGAATGAATGAATTCTTTTCACTGAGCAAGAGTCCAACGGGGTCTTGAGCCAAACAAAAGAGAAACCTCATGAGATCAAACTTAGAAATGGCTATGCTGTGAGATGCCAACACAAATTTCTCCTTTCTGTGTAAAGTCTCAGTATTCATACAATTGTGTTATTGATAAAAATGTTAATAGAAAAAACATGCAACATCTTAAATATGAACAAAGCAAATGTAAAGGAGAATGTTTAGTAAATCTTACTGATTTTCAAAGTTAATAAGTACTGGTTTGCACTCATCTTTATACATTAGTGGCATGAAGTCTGCATGAAAACAAACTATTTGCTAGCATTAGCACGCTACTTGAAATAACAAAAAAAAATTGCATTTCTTTACAAAAATAACATTTTTCCTGAAGTGCCATTTATTGATGATTTATGTCAGATGCTTTGCTTTGTTTTGCCCCTGTAGTGCAGGTGTGAGATAATAACTGTTTAAGGTATAGCGTGGTTTGGAAAAGTCAAGGTATTAAAACCACCAAGATTTTCTGTTATACTTCCTACGGTATGTGTAAGATTTTTTTTAGGACAACAGTATCTCCAGCAGAAAATATATCCAATGATGTTTTCAATTGTAAAGAAATCTGTGCTTTAGAAGCTAATGAAGACAGCAGAAGTCAATGATTAATTTGAATTATTTAGCCTGACATCTTTACTGTTGCAAAATATTTTAAATGTTCCTCAAAATAAAATATATAATGTGTTGACTTGTTCAAATGGGAGAAAGTTATTGTTTTTTACCCAGACGTTTAGAATAAGAGAATATATTTTAGAGCAGTAATCTCTATATAGTGAAACAGTGATATTTTTATCCAAGGTTATCATACCGTCAGAATCTTATACCGGCCCATGCCTACTGCAGTGTATTACTTTTACGTGTGCAAATTTTTATTTTTTTAAATAAAAATAAAACATTTAGGTATTAATGTTTACATGTTTGTGGTTCAGACACTAATATATAAATATATAATATAATATATATAATAAAAGTTGGGTACATAAAGTAACTTGGATTTGAAGTTATTTTTATTTTGATACATTTTGGATAAGGCAAATAACTTGCTTTAAGTACAAAAGCATAAATGTTAAGTTTAGGTTTACAAATTGTTTTCATTAATTAGTCTTTTCACAGTTTCCGAGTAAGCATTTTCATGAGATAGAAGATTAGGGACTAGGGAAGATTGTAGGACTGGGCGATAAAATCGGTATGGATATTTATTGACCGAACACCATTGTCAATATAGATAAAAAAGGAAATATGGTATGAAGCGCTATAGTTTTATTTAAATGTGGGTCATGAGTGCAATGGCATTAAGCTTAGGGTGTAAGTTTGTCATTTCCAATGGAGGCACGTGTATGGAAGCGATTTGGAAGCGTATGTGCTTGCATTTTTTCAACCGCACCTTGTTGAAAACATCTCAACAGGTCCGAATCACACAAGTGCATCAAGATTCAACTAACCAGACTGCTTCACACTTTGTATGGAATTTTAGTAACGGTAGACTAATTACCTCAGACAAACACAGCGCATCCAAACAATGCCATGCTTTTTACTTTTCTCCATAAACTTAAATCAGCACGGCTGCAATGGTTTTTCCATTTGTCATCCTCTAAGAAAAAATGCTTGATGGTGGGCTGGGACTGAGAGCGCAAAGCCAATTGTAAATGATCAAGGAATCCACGCCAACGCGCTTGTCACTTCAGGTCAGAATAACAACATATGCGAAAATGAGAGCCGTATATCAGTGGTGAAGAGTATGTCAATTTAAAGGGATGTAAGGATTTCACCAAAATTACTTTTTGGTTTCTTTTCTTGTGCATCCTGGCCACTAGCTCCCAATCTGAAAGATTTCTTTGCACCATGTTTGCTTATTTTTAATATAACTAATTGTAAAGAGAAAAGAATGATGACATTTACTCACGCTGTCCATGGATCTGTCATGCCACATTAAAGAGAGTCAAAACCACATAGTTTTGTTTGGATTCTAGATAAAATGCACTTGGAATTTGAACTATGATGTGGTGTTAAAAACACACAGACACACACAAAGCTTGTTGCATTTTTGAACCAGAGCTGTGCTTATTATATCTATATCTGAAAAAGTTTACATGAGAACTGAAACTGCATAGACAAAAATATTGACTCCATGATTTAAGAATCAATGTTGATTTGTTAAAATGAACATATGTATAGAACTTTAGAATTATGTTCTACAAATTCAGAGGTTAAAACAACATGCACACTGAGCTGAAAGAGCTGTACCTACACTCCTAATGATTACAGATCCACTCACTTCACCCATCAATACATCCATCCATGTCAATCCAAAAACCTTTTCCATCCTTCGATTAATGCTTCCATCATCCACCCCCTCTCAATCAATCTATCATTCCATGGATCCAGTGTTCAGTTCTACAACAAGTGGATGCAATCTCACTTTCGGGTGTTTAGCTCAACACACGTCAGAAAGTTTGTAGTGATCCTGAAGACTTTGATTATCTAGTTTATGTGTCTGAGTGTTGTGGTTTCAGTGTGATGTGTTTGAAACTGAACAAAAGCCTCCAGGAGAAGCAAAACTGACATCTCTGACTTACTGCATAACTCACATATGAATATTTCTAAGCTGAGAGTGACAAACACATGGAGGTGCTTCTCCAAGAGCTGCAAATGTCTGGCCAGAAAACTACATTCATTGCTTAAACACACAGTCTTTAGCGTATTATAGTATTCCATGAATTTCTGAACAATATTTTATGGTTATGTTTTGTACAACGTTGCTTTCTTTGAAACACAGTGGAAATATCAAGACAGATGAATACTATGCACCACAGCACAGCACTGTCTGATGTTATCGTTACACCACCCACACTACATTGCTGTTAGTAAAAACGTACAATTAAAATTTTACATGACAAAACCTAACCTTAATCGTCACGTAAACAGCATAAACACTAAACCACACAGAAACCGACCGCTCGAGTCGATCTATTTGTCTGTTGGTTAACACACGCTCAGGAAACGCATCTTCCGCGCGCAACTAAACACGCGCCCGTAAAAGACGCTGCACATATCTGACAATAAATCTACTTACAGAAGAGTTGGACAAACTGCCTGTTTATTAAAGAGAAAGGGAATAAATACTCACCCATTCTGTTGACGCTCCCGGCCGCCTCTGTAACCGATCTCTCACCGATCGACATTCCCTTTCTCCAACTCACGGTCCAGCCCACAGGCGTACGTTACATTTCTTGCGTAGTCTCCCTTGGCAACCTTGAGGGCGACGGCCGTGGCGTATCTTTGGTGAATAGCGTCCGCTCAAATCTCGCGATAGTTCGAATAAACCACACGGGCACTAAGGGAAATATTTTTGCATTTAAATGCGACTTGGTGGTCACTTTTAATAAGTATAACCTTTTTAAAATAAAAAGTTATTGTGCAAAACATGTATCAAAGTAATTTTACGAAATATAAAAGATGAATAATAGTTCTATATTCATATGTGGGATATAATGAAAATTTTTGTGAATTTTCTTTTTTTATCTACTCATAAGGTGCACAGATCAACATTAAATCCCCTTATTTATGCTTGTCTGGCTAAAGGCATCAAACTTCAGTTTCCTTTCCTTGGTCTTGGATCTGTGAAGAGACAAACAATGCTGACACCTGCTGGCCAAAGTGCATTAACAGCCGCTTTTTCATTGTTGATGCACTTTTCTGTCCTAACAGCTTAAACTAAACTAAACTAAACTAAACTAAACACTTTGTTAATGCGGAAAAGTATAATACGACAGTCCAAACATGTTAAATACGTAAAAAACTGTCCATAAATGACTTTAATAGCAGCTGACATAAGTTCATGATCCATCATGTTGTGGTAGGGTTTATTGGTGTGGTAGAGAATTTATATTCAACCCTTTATAAATGCAATTGTTTCAGGAAGATTCTGTTACTGTGATTTATGTAATATCAAATTAGAATGGTTTTGTGAATGATATTTCCTGGATAAAAATTGGTCACTTTACCCCACACATTTTTTATAGCAAACAAAATAAGAGAGTCCCCTTTAAACTGATTCATAGATGCTATTCATTCATTCGTTCATTTTCTTTTCGGCTTAGTCCCTTTATTAATCTGGGATCGCCCTTCCAGCCACAAGGAGAGAGGTCTGGATGCAGACCTGGTGCAGTGCAACCTGAGCTGCGTCCAGTGCTTTTTAATGGGTTCACCTAACCCCACCCATAACCCTACCCCTCACAGTGCGTCACTCACTCCATTTGAGTGCATTATGTCTGACATTGCATCGCTGAGTGATGCAATCTTAGCTTGCATCATAAAGGCTGCATCCAGATACTATTGGCCACAACCTATCTCTGGGAAACATCTAGACACGCTCATTCAAGTGTAATCTTAAAAGGCTTAAGAATGATATTAACACCAACTGTTCTTTTTGCTTAGTAAATGCTGAAACTTTTGTTTATTTATTTTGGATTTGCCCTCATTGAATGACATTTTGGTGTGATGTTCTTGATTTTATAAAAGATAATGTGAATGCAGATTTGAATTTACATGAAGAATGTTATCTTTGGTTTCCATAAATGTGAAAAGGAAAATAATACTTATTTCATAAACCTTATTGTTGGGCAAATTTCACGTTCACTAGAGCAAGTTTTGTAAGTGTAAACCTTTTTTTCCTAAATTTAGAATTGAAACGAAAATGTATTTTGAGTGTATTGGGAGATCAACAAACTTAAAAGCAGTACGAACAAGGACTTTGATTAAAGACTTGGCACTTATCTTGGACTAAATGAAAATTACACCACATGGCTGCTTTATAAGGAACACCTCTTCAGTTGTATACAGCAAATATCTAATCAGCATCACTTCATGGTAGCCAGTGGTGTAAAGTAACAATTTACAAATACTCAAAATACTAAAATAAGTAGTTTTCTCAGGAATTATAATTTACTAAGTAGGTTTAAAAATGTGTTCTTTTACTTTCCCTCAAGTACATTTTAATGCAGTATTGGGTACTTTTACTCTACTACTTTCCTTCAACTTGCAGTCACTACTTTATTTTTGCTTGTCTATGGGTATTAGAAACTGTCCAACCTAAAATCAACCAATTATAAATGTCTAATGATGTTAGAGTTCAACGTTGTGTGAATGTTACCACTATAATGTCTATCAGATGTCAGATTTTGGTTGCCATATCTGACAAATAATGCCCTACACTACTGCGTTACGCAATACGTTACTGTCAGGCCTGTAGCCAGCATGGTGAAAGGGGTGGTTCTTTTTTTTTCTCAAAAAGTGGACCTATTTGCAGTTATACGCCTCAGTTTCTAGTTAACTATAAGATTTAAATACTGCATTTTAGTGATTTTTTTATTTATTTATTTTTTAGCAAGTCAGGTGTCATCATAACCACTTTCTGATGTACTAAAAAGATTTACAAAAAAGTTGCAATAAAACAAATTAAAACAAGAGTAATTTTTAAAATACAAATTTATGACATCATTTATGATTAGGAAAAAAAAGCAATCTGTTAAAGTTTTAAAGTAAAACAACTGTAGCCTACTATCAGTTTAGTAGACAGAAAACAAACTGGCCAGCACATGCAACTGTCCTCAGTTGACCCCCTGGTGTTGGGTTGCAGCTGGAAGGGCATCCGCTGCGTAAAACATATGCTGGATACATTGGCGGTTCATTCTGCTGTGGTGAACCCTGATTAATAAAGGGACTAAGTCGAAAATAAAATTAATTAATGAATATTGAGCAGCAGTTCAATAGATGCCTTGTTGGTGCTAGATAATAATGCTTGGTTTTAAGTTCATTCTGCAGAAGACTCTGAATGCACAACATGTCAAACCTTTAAGCAGGTAAGCTACAGCAGAAGAAAAGTGAAGCTACAAATGAAAAACAAAATAGAACAATAGACATTGGTCACAATTTCTGTTGCAATATTCAAATAGTATTAAATCTGGAATTGGCATAAATAACATAAAAGCCTGGATCCATCCTGCCTTGATTATTCAAGCTGCTTATGTAATTGTGTGGTGTAAATGGTCTGGCCCACTTTACACCCCTTTTGACTTTTGATAGCCTACCTGTGTATCCCTTTTTGACCATATTTTGGGATGTGTACTTCCAAATGTCAAATCATTTCAGTTTTTCAAAATGAAAAGAAGTTCATTACACCCAATTGCCTAATCTGAAAAAACTGCAGCAACTGCGTGATGCTCTTATTTTAGTATAGAACAAAATATAAGAGGAATTGAATTCTAGCATCTTGTCAAAGCCATGATATGATATTAAGACAGCAGCAAAGTCAAAATGGGCTCTAATCTACAGTAGCACTAAGATAATTAGAGCCCCTTTGCCTTCTTTCATGGCTTCATATCAGTTTTTACTATGTCATTATGGTCTAATGTCCCATTTAATAATCTTATAAAAGCTTTAAAAAGGCTCATTTTGTCAGCAATGAATACTTTATATTAATTTACTGTACAAAAATTACATAAGGGCAGCACGGTGGCGCAGTGGGTAGCATGATCGCCTCACAGCAATAAGGTTGGTCGCTGGTTCAACTCCCAGCTGGGTCAGTTGGGATTTCTGTGTGGAGTTTTGCATGTTCTCCTCGTGTTTGCGTGGGTTTCCTCCGGCTGTTCCGGTTTCCCCTACAGTCTGCGACTATAGGTGCATTGAATAAGCTAAATTGACCTTGGTGTATGTGTGTGAATGTAAGAGTGTATGGGGGTTCCCCAGTGTTGGGTTGCAGCTGGAAGGGCATCCAATGCATAAAACATATGCTGGATAAGTTGGTGAAACTTTTGTTTATTTATTTTGGATTTGCCCTCATTGAATGACATTTTGGTGTGATGTTCTGTGATGTGATTAATTAATGAACTAAGCTGAAAAGAAAATTTAATGAAAAAATAAATAAAACACGAAGCCAAACTTTATTGCTTAAGGTAGGCTACAAGGTCCACATAAAACATGTATATGAAATTGTAAACAAGGAATACAAAATAAGGCACCTGTAAACTATAAATGCATAACTTAATACACAAAAATGTTGAGCTCAGCCTTTCTGCTCATTGCTTTGGCCATCGTGCTCGCTCATCAGTATCACTGTGTAAAAAAACAGAAAAAATAATAATTATAGATCCACCCCAGTTTCACAAACAAAAGGTTTAGTCAAGTCCCTGACTAAAATATATAAGCCTGAGCAGTTTCAGCTCCAATAAACTTGTACTTAATGATTCTAAAAGATATTAGTGCCTTTGTTTTGCCTCAAGATGACCATTAATGGGCATACCGTACATCTCCGAACTTAAATATGGACTAATCCTGGCTTAGTCTAAATAATGTTGAAACATCTTAAAGTATTTTAATTAGGAAATTAAACACAACAAATAAAGATACACTTGCTTTGATTTCTGAAGATTTTCTGCTCCTGCTTGTGTCATAAGATCAGCAACATTCTTCTCCAGGTCGTCGATACGAGTTCCCATCTCATCCAGTTCAGGCATTAAGGAAAACCTGCAGTTCTTTTGTAGCAATTTCAAGCCATATCTCCGCAGCCAATAAATGGTAAATCACATTTTTATTACATTTATATGTGATACACAGATTCTGGTCATAAATATATATTTTTTAGGATTGAGGAGTAATAGTTATTAAAACTAAATGCATTTAGGAAGTTTAAACCTACAACAGTATTAATATTACCATTCTTAGTTTTGTTGTCTAATGCATGCTAGTATTATAGGGACAATGCACATACTTTTTATACTAATTTTGTAAACTCTAAAATAAAAACTCTCTCAATGTTTATATTTACTATATTATATTTAACTCTATATGTATTTTTATTCACTGTAAACAATATGACAAACAGTCATGACAACAATCGTTTTTGTTACTTTATTTTGAAAATGTTTTGTAACTTATTTTGATTCGTTAATCAGGTTTCAACTAGATTAAAGTTACTTAATATTTTTAGTCTGTTTGATGCAAGTTGAAATCACTAAAAAGTTCATTTGACTTAACTAAAAAATCAAATACAGCTATATTTTTACAGTGTAGTAACTACGACTGATTTCTGGTTCCCTAAAAAACAAAACAATGAACAAACAAACAAAAACAGCTTAAACCAGTCTAAACTGATAGGTTTCAGTTGGTCACATAGGCTGGTCTTAACTGGTTTAAGAGGAGTTTGGGCCAATTCTTAGATGGCCAGACCAACTGGAAAGACCAGCTAAAACCAAGCCACAGGCTGGGAGATCAACTAAACCAGTACTCACGTTAGTTTATAGTTTTTTTTTTTTTTTTAACTTCAGAAAGGGAACTACAAATCCTTAGTTTACGTTTTTCTACACTAACGATACTTAGGGTTTTATTGAAACTGTGGTTAGTCTGTCATGTAACAGATTTAGCAGTTACTGTGGTTCAACCACCACTTTTATCGTGTATTCTTTAATGAATCATTAAAGGCAGAGTTCGAAAAAGTAATATGCATTTGAACAAGATATTTTTAGAGATGATCTGTTCAGATAGGTTTTGAAACCTGCTCTGAAGTTGCTGCATAGTCGTCTCCATCTAGAAATAAGTAGAACGGATTTGTAAAACTTTAAAATAACCCGCAAAACAATGATTAAATCTAGAATTTTAGAGAAAATGAACACTTACTATTGCAGTCAAATCTTTGGCAGCTTTTGACTCGGATCCTGCCATGATTTGTTTGCTAAGTTGGTTTGTTTTGTTGTTCGTTTCAGCTCCTGGCAACGTTAACTGGAACAGCAAGCGTCTGAAAATAACCCTGTAAAAAGTCTCAAAGAGATTTGATCATAATTAAAAGTGAATTCTAAAACTTCTCAACTTTTCTATCTCATTCATAATTTACATTGACGTTTGCTGTAAAAACTTCCTCTTACGTAGGTAGAGCCACATTTAACCCTTTTATGTAGCAATGGTGATTCAATTTTTTTTTTTTAGTTTTATAAACGCAAGAACGATACATACAGAACAATGCCGGAGGTATACAAAAATGAAAAGTATATAAAAAGTATACAGAGATACAAGAACTCAATAGGTAAAACAAAATAATAAAACAAAAAATATATATATAAAAAAAATAATGCTAGACCTTGCTAACTCACAACAACGTTAAAGTGTCAAACAAATATACGGTTTTCAGCCAACGGTGAATTCATTTGCAGTAAGTTACATTGATGGATAGCATCATTTTGCGCCGATAATAACCACCGTTGATTTTATGACTTGTTACATAAGTCTGAGTTGCTTCATGGAATTTTAGAGTATTACTCAAATATTATATCATATCAGGCTGTCATAATACGCTTAAAAAGTTATTTAAAAATCAGGCCATGTCGTGTTTTTCAAATATGTGAGATGGCATATATATATATATATATATAAATATAATGCAGAATCAATAGAGTGAACTAACAATAACTTAAAAATTCGTTATTACTACGTGCGTAACGGAGCTCGACTGACATTAGGACCGTGCGTCTCATGAATCTATAATGAATCTATAACGTGATATGTGACGTGGAAAACGAGGAAGTATTGTTATGAGCATTAGCCAGCTGTAGCAGAGAGGATCACAGCAGCTTTAAAATGTTATACAGCACTCTTTTTCTATCTGCGTGGACCGTAAGACAGAAAATACACATCATCTAATATGGACTCTCGCTGAGGACCCGTTCCGATTGACTTAGCAAGTATTTTCCTGAAAAAGGGCAAGCACTTGAATGAATTGGATCTAATGGGGACTGGGACAATGAAAGTACTTATACTGTCGTTGCGTAGAATATACAGCCAGTAATCATCAATATTTCCATTTTAATATGTAAATAAAGCAGCCAAATAGTAATGGTTTATTTTTAATTAACGTTAAATTAGTGGCCAGTGATCGCATTGAGTTGATTAAATTCTAAAGGACAGTAACATCAGCCAAACATGGATGAAGTGATTATGGATCAGGTCCTGTATGTTGTCCATCAAGTGGTGTCATGGGTCGCATCTGTTGCCATTATCTTTGGAGGAATAGTGCCATACATCCCTCAGTACAGGGACATCCGAAGGACCCAAAATGCTGAGGGATTCTCCACTTATGTGTGCCTGGTCCTGCTGGTGGCCAATATATTAAGAATACTATTTAGGTAAGATAAACCTTATCATTTCTTATATCTATAAGAGGAAACAATGTACTGTGACACTTAATCCACTTATCTGCTTTATGTGTTTATAAGGAGACACTTGTAGTAATATCATGCTGGATATGGCTGCAAAAGGTTCTTATTTGTAAATTGTATAACAATTTGTCATTCTAATTAATAATATATGATATATAATATAATATATAATACTTTTTATGTATTAGCAGCCAAAGGTTTTAAATCATTAAGCTTTTTAATGTTTTTAAAAGATGTTAATAACTCACTAAGGCCTGATTTTTTTTGATTAAAAGAATTAAACTGTAATTTATTTCATTTTAAGCTAAGTCTTTTAGTGTCACAATCCTACAGAAATAT